CCAACAACTATACAACTTGTTTTGTAAATATCTTCCTTCATACTGAAGTTTTGTATTTCAGATTTGAACATAATATTAAGAAGCCAAAAGTAATTTGTCTGATATTCAGTTTAGAAAATTCCATTGAATGGTTTTGCTCTAAACGACATAGAAAAAACCCCAATCTATTTGAAACTTTGTCCCCATTTTCATAGCATGACGAAACAGTTCACATTAGGCCTACCACTAAATGTCGCAAGGATCTCGCACATTGCAAGCTACAGCACTCTAAGAAGCCAACAGACGTCTACAGATATTATTATCCCCAAATTCCGTTTGCCTGCTGAGATCATGGCTAAGTTTAGTAAAGAACAGAGAGCTTTTTGTATTGAACATTACCTCTCCACAAACTCACTGTGCGCGCTCATAATATGACCTTAGCAGTTGCGAGCGCCGTAAAACCTTATACTATACTATACTACTATACTAAACTCACTGTCCATGACATTTGGCAAGTTCTGCGCACGGTATGGAAAGAACACTTTTTGCCCTCAAAACCTTTGGTGTCAGGACTAGAGAAGTTCCGTCAGTTTGGATTTACAGCGAATCAGAACTAAAAATTAATTTCCTAAAAAATGGCCACTTCAAGTCGAACACGCACCATGCGCAGCCCTGTAAACGTCACCAGGGTGCAGGTTTTAGTAGTCGAGTCCCATGAGACATCTGTCCGTAGACGATCTGCAGCTAGAACTTGTCCTACACCTTAACAGTCTGCTTTCTCAAGGCTGATCTTAACCTACGACTGTACCTTTTTCACCCTCGCTAGGCCGAGATGACATGGATCAGAGCATGGAAATGTGTTCATGATTTCTCGATTGTTTTGAAACGCGGAGTCATTTCCTTGATGACATTTGGTTTAGTGCAAAGCCCATTTTCACCCTGCTGGATATGTTAACTCCAATAATGCTGTCTATTAGGCACCCAACTCCCTATTATTTCTAGAAGTCACTTCAAACTGAGTATGAACAGAGTATGTGGCTTTAAGCACTCATGGCCTAGCAGGTCCTTGTGTTTGGGCGCCATTGGACATTTCAAACGACGCGTTAAAAATGTGTCGAGTCAAAAGGGGGATGTAGAGCACCTCTTCTAGGAATTTCAGAATGGAATCGTTAGTTTTTGTAAACTCTGTAAAAGAAATTCAATATTTTTTTTAATGTTACAAGAATGAAAAACTGAATGTCAAAGAGAAAATAAAGAAAAAGTCAACAAATCTTCTTTAGACTTCCTTTACAAGATTTTTTTTTAAATAGTGAACTTAGCATTTTTGGGGGCTTTTTTCTTTAAGCCATTTCCGTTCTCAAAATAAGTTTCTTCTTCGTGGGTTTTATGTCAAACAAATTCTGTTGAATGAACTATGCCTGCTCCAAATTACAGATTCTAGAATTTATTTTCGTCGAGATGTTCAGAAAAAAAAGTTGTTCAGTTTTCTTTGATCACCTTGTTAATTAAACATAAGAATGTTTTAGACAATGCGACTACGGTAATGTTGTCGACTGGTAGAAAGTAGGGGATTTTGTGTGAGTACACTAATATTGAGAAATGCCTTTTGAATTAATGTTACAACTTTGATTAAAATTATCACAAGAAAAAACTAAAACTAAAACAAACAATCGTTGTCCGATGGCAGAAGTGCAATAAGCAAATAATTTGCCAAGCAAACAAACAAAAAGTAAGTAAAAAATAAGGAAAGAATTAAAAAGCAAACAAAGTGAGAAGTGCAATTAGCAAATAATTTGTCAAGCAAACAAACAACCAAATAAACAAACAAACAAATTAAAAGTAAATAAAAAATAAAAAAAAGAATTACAAGGCGAGTTTATCTAACTTTCTAAATCTCAAATTCCCACTCGTCTTGCGGAATCAGAAGCTATTCTTTTTTTTAATCGTTTTGTTTTCTAACAGAACGTAGTCTAGTTATGTGGGTGGTTGGAGGGTGCATAAAAAATCTATCGTCCTTATCTCTCCTCCTTCTTTTTGTGTGTTTGTTACTCCCTTGTAACACCTCTAATCTTCGGCACTTATATGACCTTATTGTGTTGCAAGTGCCGTAAAACTCATACAAAAACGAGAAAAAAACCTCTAATTCTGTCTGCATACCTTAAACACGACCCATCCTCCCCTAGTTCTGTATGCGTACCTAAAACACGACCCCATCCTCGCCTAGTTATATGTGCGTACCTAAAACACGACCCCATCCTCCCCTAGTTATATGTGCGTACCTAAAACACGACCCCATCTTCCCCTAGTAATATGTGCGTACCTGAAGCACGACCCCACCCTCCCCTAGTTATATGTGCGTACCTGAAACTCGACCCATTCTCCGCCTAGTTCTGTGTACGTACCTGAAACACGACCCATCTTCCGCCGTCCGTCTCCGTGTCACACACCACCTCCAGGCCGTTGTTCAAGATCTCCACAGACCTGGCCTCGCCTCCTACTACGTCAATGCACATGCGGGGCTGGACACACAAATACATCGCTACCTCAGAATTACAAAGTTCTATCTGACATTTTTGGCACTTCTAAGTTTTGCTAAGACCAAAAGGCCAGAAACCAATTAATGTTCTATCTGATGTATCACAATCAAAAGAGTATTCGGAGCTGCTGTCCACATATTAAAAGAATTGCATTTTAAAAAGCTTGCCATGTTGTGAAACTTTTTTTTTGCTCCAAAAGTCCTAAAACCCAGGTACTGAGCAGATAGAACTTTGTGAACGCCTGAACTTACGAGTGTACGAGAGATACAAAAATGATCTATCTGGTTCTCCGTCACTCCATCTGGCGAAACCCATGTGGCCTTGTGGATCCTCTTGTGGGGAAAAACAGAGCCTCCAATAACAAAACTGTTGAAAGCACATATATTTGCGAATCGCTCCCCGTTCTCATTCATTTGT